TCATGCACAAGTACAAAATAACACAGTACACTACCATACATGCTACAATTCGGCCATCCTGATAATTGAGATCTCCTGATCTCCTCATTCCCCTTGATTCTGCCTACGTCCACTAAACCACGGCCGCAAATTTCCTATTGCCCATACACCAACATAAGGTGTCCTTGATTGCTGAAAACCTTCAACATCTTTCACCACGTAACGATCATTTTTTAACACTCGAGCTATCATGTATGGACCTTTAAACTTTGGAATTAACTTTTTCAGCACACCAGTGTGCGAATCGAAGTTTTTCAACATTACGTAATCCCCCTCTTTTAATATGTTTGGTACCTTCCGCTTGCTATTTACATACTCTTCATTGTATTTTTGCAACTTTGTTTCATTTTCTGCTGCGCTAACCCTAATATCCGCAAAAGATCTTTGTTCCTGACACTGAACCTCTTCAACTAAATTTTCTCTCAACAAATCTAATACTTGCCCTCGCTGCTTAACCCCAAACAACATTACACTAGGATACTCTTTTATAGTTCTATGTAAAGTGTTGTTTAAAGCAAATTCAACAGTTTCTACTACATTGTCCCAATAAACATTTTTATCCGAACTTGAAAGTTTTGCAATCATAGGACCTATGTTTCTATTTACCCTCTCAACTTGGCCATTTGCTTGTGGCGACCCTGTAGCTATCTTAACATGTTTAATATTCTCTTCTTTCAAAAAATTCAAAAACTCAACCGAAGTAAAACAGCTACCCCTATCAGACACTATTGTCTTGGGACGGCTATACGACCGACAATAATCTTTTAATACACAAATTACCTCTTTGGTTTTTGTTGTTTTTGTCGGATACAATTTTACAAACTTTGTAAACGCATCCACCACAACTAGTATATGTTTCAACGCTCTTGAATTATCAATCGGTCCAAAATGGTCTATATGAACCACCTCAAAAGGTATACTTCCTTTTGGTATGGTATGCAAAAACCCTTCTTCTCGACCATGTTTAGCTGAAAATGTTATACACTGCAAACAATTTTGTATATGATTCGTAATTTTTTGTTTCATCTGAGGAAACCAGTAACTTTTTGAAACAACGTCCATTGTCTTGTCTATCCCTAAATGTCCCATTTCGTCATGGTATTTATATAACACATGGTTTTCCATATCTTCTGGAACATAAAATAAAACCGATCCCTTCTCCTTTTTCCTATAAATCACACCATTACGCATTTCATATAAACAATGTTCATTTTTCTCTAATAGGTCACGCAACTCTTTTAACTTCCGATCCTTGTTTTGACAAATAATCATATTCTCCTCAAATGTATTACTTTCTAAAACTAAGATATTATTACAACGGCTAAGCGCGTCTACATGTTGCATACGACTGCCTGACCGATGTTCCAATACATAATCATAATTTTGAAGTTCTAACGCCCACCTTGCTATTCTTGGGTTCATTTCTTTTTTATTTAAAGTCAAAGTTAACGAATTACAGTCCGTAATTATTTTAAATTTCAAACCTTGCAAATAAACTCTAAACCTTTTGAGTCCATAAATTATTGATAAAGTTTCAAGCTCAAAGCTATGATATTTTGACTCTGCCTCACTAGTTCTTTTAGAAAAATAAAACACCGGATGCATTTTTCCATCTTTTTTCCGTTGCATCAAAATAGCCCCAAACCCTACACAACTTGCATCACAATGCAACTCTGTCTCATCATTCGGATCATACAAAGCTAAAATAGGCGACTCCAAAAGCTTTTTCTTAAGCTTTTCAAAGCATAGCAATTCAATTTCACCAAACTGAAACTTTTTGTCTTTCTTCGTTAAATCATACAACGGCTTTGCAATTAAAGAAAAATCTTTCACAAACCTCCGAAAATACGAACAAAGCCCAAGAAAACTCTGAACAGATTGTAACTTAGTAGGAATTGGAAAATTTTTAATTGCCTCAAGACCTTTGTCATCTGCCCTAATGCCATCTTCCGTAATAGTATATCCGAGATATTTTACCCGACTTACTAAAAACTCACACTTATCTAACCTAAGCTCCAAATTATTTTCAACTAACTTTCGAAAAACTTCCGCTAAAATTTTTAAATGCTCTTCCACGCTTTCTGTCGCTATCATTATATCATCCAAATATATAATAACCTTATTCAGTCTTATCATATCCGAAAATACCTTATTAACAAACCTTTGAAATGTTGACGGAGCATTCCTTAACCCAAAAGGCATTCTCAAAAATTCAAATTGCCCCAGCGGGGTTATAAAAGAAGTAAACTTAATCGAATCAGGATCCATAAAAACATGAAAAAATCCATTTTTCAAGTCTAATTTGGTAAAAACCCTTTTATGCACTAGCCTATCAAGTAAATCATCAATCAGCGGTATCGGATAATTATCTTTAACTGTCACTTTGTTAAGAGTCCTGAAGTCAACACACATCCTGAGATCACCAGTTTTCTTACGAACTAAAACAATTGGTGACACAAACTCAGATTCACTTGGCCTAATGATGTTTTTCTCCAAATACTCATCTAACAATTTCTGAAGTTCACTCTTCTCGCTATATGATAAGCGTCGAGGTGGGCAACTAAATGGTTTAACACTATTTAACGTCAGTTTCATCTGACTTTTAACTTTTGGTTCTGGGAAACGTTGCCACTTAACATAATACTTTTCAAACAAATGATTAAGTTCTATTTGGTCCGAAAAACTAGCATTTTCCCCCACTTTAAGGTTGACGTCATGATGTTCGCTTGGCAAAACTACCATCAACAATTTATCAAATAAAAATTCACCATTGCTTCTCTCGTTATCATCGCACACACTTTCATTAACACCTCCCACACTTTCATTAACATCTTCTAATAAAATTTCATCATTGTCTTCATATTTCTCTAATTTTGTGTTTCCCTCTTTAACATAATCATTTTTCTTTTCTTTACTTTTACAATCTTTATCACTACTATCATTCTCCAAAATTTTCAAGTCTCCACAATTTTTGCACTCAAATTTTGATTCACCCTGACTATTCAACCTTTCCAATTCGACATTTTCACCGTAATCTTTTAATATCTTAAATCCACAAATTTTCAAAAAATCTCTACCCAAGACTGCATCATAGACCATTGTCCTATCAGCTACTATGATAAAAGTTATTGCAAATTCTTTTCCGTACAATAAGATGGAACACAAAAATTTTCCATAAGTTTCAACCTTCGATTTATTTAAACCAAAAAACTCTGAAGTAACATTTGGAAATAAATTAATATTAATTTCTCCAGGAACACTAGACTTTCTAATAAAACTGATAGGACTTCCGGAATCTATTAAGCAGTCTAAAGAAAAACACAAATTACCATAACGTCTTACTATAAATGTAAAAGATCTTACATATTCGTTCTCCTCCAAACAATTGACTGCCTTCTTATGATCTGGACACTCACTGACACGATGCGCCTTACTCCCACAGGCATAACAAGCTCCCTTTTCCCTAGCAGGTTTTTGGCACTCCGACGCATAGTGACCCAACAAATTGCAGTTATAACATCTCACATCAGCATTCTTTGTAACTGATATAGCTGAAGACTTTACCACCGCTATTTTCTGCTTAACTTTTGAATATGCTTGCAATAACTGCACCTTATTAGAGTAACACTGCAGATAACCCTGAATGCGTAATTGTTCATCAGCAATACCATCTATGATGTACTCCACCAACTCCTCTTCTTCCAATTTCAACAGATTTGCCAGCATCACCTTGTCATTATAATATTCGTTAAAACTCTCCTTCTGCTGCCACTTTCGCATCTCAAACTTTCTACGCAAGCTTAGTTTGCTGTGTTTTGTACCAAACACTTCCTTTAATTCGGTAACCAACTGCACAAAACTTTCAAGTAAAAAATTCGGCTTTGAATACAGCCATTGCTGTGCCTTGCCTTTTAACTTCCCAAATAATAGCAAACGCATAGTATCCTCATCAACTGCAAACATAACTCTCATATTTTCAATTTGTGTAACCCAGACGTCAACACTAGCATCACCATTATACTCCGGCACCAATCCTTTTAAATTGTCAACTGATCTGCTTACTGGGTTATTCAGCTCACGACGCGGCAGCGCTGCACCTGCACTCTCACCGATACTCGAAAGTCTGCGCAAAAACTCATTCTCCCTAACTAAAAACTCCTTCTCACGCTTTAACAACTCTACCTCTCGTTGTAAAAACAAAACGTTAACTTCAGCAGCATCACGATTACCATAGCTTTCATGATCTACATTTGTTTGCTGCTTAGAAGTAAGGGCTGCATTTTCATTTTCTTGAAGAGCTTGTACCTCATCTGTCTCACTCTCAGCATCACCTTCTAACCCAGTATGAACAATGGGACAAACACCACGCTGATTTTTAGGCACTTCACTAACCCGCAGCGCAAGTGTAGCTTTGCATCCTGACGTGGGCAATTTTAATTGCCTCAACCACTCCCGCAGCTGAACCAAAGAATAACCTTTTGCGCAAATTGGTTCTTCCATATCAACAAATTAATTTTTTGCGATTTTCTCTTTTGCTTAAACTTTCTTTTATAAATTCTTCTCTTATACAGTCCTTCAGTTCTTAACAGGACACTCGTTGCTTTCTTGAATTCCTTACAGGACACTCTTTTCCTTCTTCGATTTTTCTTTAAACTTGCATTTTTTGTCTTTAAAATTGTATAAATTTGCAGCTGCACATCGGTTTCATATATTTTCAGTTCCTTAATTTTAAATTTTTAAATATTTTATATTTTAGCTTTTATAAAATTTTTTTCCGCAATTTTCAGGAAGGCTGTCGCTCGATCCCTACTTCTGAACTGTAGGATGCCGTAATTTAACAAAACACGTCCGCTGCGTTCAACAAATCTTTTTATTCTAATTCTAATATAAATTTTCACAATTCAGAAAAACTTATTCGTTCATTTCTATTTTCAACGAGTCACGTACGCATGCTCCCCTTTTACATACATTCAACAACGAGTCACACAAGTTTACGCCCCCTTAAACATAAGTACATACATATACACACACACATTTATCAGAATGAAACATACAAATTTACATAAAAAGTATTTTACAATATAAATACATATAAACCAGAACAAGACAACATCAAAGTATAAACAATATTTCATCAGACAAGAAACACAAACACATACATATAGGGGAAATGTGAATGAGAGTGTGATAACGAACTTTTATGTTGATCATTTGAAACACAGATCACTACACAACATCATGCACAAGTACAAAATAACACAGTACACTACCATACATGCTACA